AAATAAATAAATAAATAAATAAATAAATAAATAAATAAATAAATAAAAATTAAAATCCTAGTCCCAATACCACTATTACACTTAAAATAATTTCTTAATATCTCCAAATACCCCGTGTTCAAATTTCACCATCAGAAACGGCAATCTATTTTAAAAGTGCTATTTTAAATCTATTTTTTAAATTACTCATATAAAATGAGCATAAACTTGTGATCTTGTTGAACGCAGTTTTTTTTTGTTTTTTGCTTTTCATTGGATGCACGTAGCTCTTGGCTGCACAAGGCTGCCGAGGGGTGCTGGAAGTTTTGAGGCAGGGTCTCTAGGGACCTCTATGCTATTTAATACTTTGCCTCCTGGTAAGGGGATGAGGTGCAGAGCGTGAAGGCCCCCTCTCCCCCATGCTCCCTCCATCTGCAGGAACCCAGGGCTGGGGTGAAAGGAGTGAGGCGTGCCACTTCTTGCTCCCACCTCCGCCACTCCGGCGTCCCTCGACCGCCCCCTTCGGTCTCGGGACTACATTTCCCAGAGGTCCTTGAGCTCCACCCGGGCTCGAGCTCCTTAGCAGACACGGAGCGACTAGCGCGGCGAGGCGCGGTGCCTTCTGGGACAGGTAGTTCGGTGGGCGGCTCTCGGAGCGCTTTGGTCCAGGTTTGAATTCCGCCCACCCGCATTCGGCTCGGAGGGAAGGCAGACAGTAGGACGAGCGGTGAGTTTTCGGCAGGGAGGATGGGAGGTGGGTTGGGAGAGGAACAGTGTGTGTGTGTGTGTGTGTGTGTGTGTGTGTGTGTGTGTGTGTGTGTTGGGGGGAGGGCTCTGTATCGGCCAGTGGAGGAAGCGGGGATGGCTCGGCTGCGCGCTAATGGGGGTGACAGCGGGCGGGTCCTCGGCCACCCCTCCTGACCTTGTGTTGTGTCTCTGAGGGTGAAGGGTCTGGGCGTGGGTGTGAGTGAGTGACTGGCTTGCCAGCAGGTGACTGTGTCAAGGTGGGGGGTGTGGCTCTGCGGGGGTCCGGGGAGTCTGTGGCCTTGTCTGTCCGTCCCAGGGCGGGAGATTTTAATGGGATTCCACACAGCACGAATTCTGACTTTGGGAGGCGTCTGTGTGAGTCTGCGTCTGACTCTGCGGAGTTGTGCCCAAGGGTGTGCATTTTTGTCTGACAGGTGGAGTCAATGGGTACTTAGGTGTGTGTGTGTCTCTGTGTGGGTGTGTGACTGCAGCGGAGTCTGATTGTGTGTCTGAATTTGGGGAGCTCATGCCTTCACTATGTGAGGGGCATGCTAATCTGATGGCGGTGGCAGACGGTTATTAAGGGGCCTCCAGGACCCTGGAGGGGTCAGTTGGGAGTTAAGGGAGCCACTTACGAACTTGGCCGGCTGGGGGCATGGTTGAATGATTTGGAGGGAATACCTGAAGCAGTTTAGGGGGCGTTGGAGCTGCGGAAAGAGGGTTCTCGGAGGACGCATATGAAGTTTTGGGAATGAGAAGGGCTTTTGGAAAACGGCTTTTGAGCCAACAGTGGTTATGCACATAAGTGTCCGGCTGTCAGGGGGGCTGGGAGCATGAATGGTCCGCACATGTGAAAGGAGGCAGCTTCTGGGCAACGGGACCTGGGTCTGTCCTGGGTGTCAGCCAGAGGGAATCGTGTGTCTGGAGGGTGATTTTGAGTTTTGAGATGTGGCTGCAGGTGTGTTTGTGTCTTTATGCCCCAGTGTCCAACGTGTTTATCTGGAAGCTGTGTGTGTGTGTATGTCTGTGTGGGTGTGTCTGCGTGGGTTACCTGTGGTTTGAAGTTGTGTGAATCTGAATCTGCACATTTGTAAGTGGGGAGCAAGTGGGTTTTATTGTTTTTAAAAGGCTTGCAAGGCTGAGGGGATGACTCCGATTTTCCAGGTGTGTGTGCGTCTGTGTCTGTGTGTCTGCATGCCTGTATTTCTGTGGATGGATTTCGGCATATTTGTCTGTCTGATCTGCTAGGGGGTCTCAATGTTTTCAAGCCTACAAGGCTGAAGGAGTGATTCTGAGGTTTAAAGTGAGCCATTGTGAGTAGGAGTTGGGGGGGTCCAAAGGGGAGTGGCAGGGGGCATCTGAGGCGAGAGGCTACTGGGGGGTTGGGTCCCCAGGTGAGACTGAGAGTGGACCCTGGGGTGTCAGGCAGAGGTGGTCTGAGTATCCCATAGGGTGCCCTTTGAGCTTTAAGTGTGCAGGCGTGTGTGTCCTGCGTGTGTGTGTGCCTGGTGTGCCCAGTATCTGAAGCTGTGTGTACATGCACATTTGTGTGTGTGTGTGTGTGCGTGCACGTGCCTGAGTGTTACTGAGCCTCAGGTTGTGTTACTGCCCATTTGTGTGTATTTGAGGGTCTACAAGTGGGTCTTAATTTGTACAAGTAGAACACCGAGGCCAAAGGGGTGTCTCTGAGTTTCTCAAAGTATCCCACTGTGAGTAGGAGTGTGAGTCCTGGGCAGGAGGCCACCTCGTGGGAGGGAGTCATTGTGCGCCTGATGGTCCTGCAGGACCCACCCTGTCCCCCAACCACCCCCAAGGGGTCCCCAGGCCCCAGTGCCTCTGATGCATGAGCCTCTGTGCCTTTCCTAGGAAGGCCTGGCCTGGGCAGTGGGGGAGGAGCGCTGGGGGAGCAGACGGATTCTGAGGCCCAGTAACAAGGATAGTGATGCCGGCAGGCTGGGGGCCTTCGTGGAGGAAGAGGCCCCCAACCCTCCCCCCTAAAAATACAATTGTAGCCAACACTCTGACGCCTGTGCTGGTGTCAGAGACTGTTTTAACCACCTGACTTGTGTTCGGGGGCGGGGGTTGGGGGTTTGTGCGTATCACTGAGCAACTCGGTCCCGTTCATTCACCCAAGTTTGTCTACCGCCTCCTTGGGCACCTCTGGAACCAGTGCTGCTCAGGTGTCAAGGAGAAGCACTGAGCAAGCCCGCACGCTCCTGCCCAGCGGCCCAGGCAGAACCTAGGTCGGGAGGTCAGTCCCGAGGCCACAGCTCTGAAGGGTCCCTGTCATCAGGGCGGGGACAGTTTGGGGCCAGGGCAGCGCGAGATCGCGCTGTAGAGTCTCCTCGGGGATGTGCGGTTGCGTTCGCGGCAATGGGGCGCAGGAGCTGCTGCCTAGGAGCCCCTGAGACCCGATGGTGCCCGCGGTGGGGCCCCTTGAGGAACCCGCATCTCCCCTGAGGGCGGTCGGGATGCTCAGATCCTTGTGAGCCGCGGGGTGACTCCAGGTCAGGGTTCCTCTGGCCACTGGGAGGAGGGAAGAGTGGAGGGGACAGAGGAGGCTGGGGTGTCAGTAGTAGGGGTGGTGGGGACTCCGTCCAGGACAGGTGGAGGAGGAGCCTGGGTCCTGGTCCTGAGGTTTTAGGGGGTGGGACGGGCAGATGGGGGACTCTGTACTTGGATGGAGGAGGCCGGGGGGAGGGGATACTTTGGGAGAGGTCTTTTCGGGATCAGGGGGCCAGGTACGGAATTGGCCTAAAAGAATAACCAGAGGGCCATTCGGGGGGCGTGGAGCCCCTCCTGCAGGCTTTGGGGGGCGCCTGAGGAAGCTTATGGAGATTTACTTAAGAGAAGGACACTTGGCAAAGGGCTGTGCAGCCTCCAGTGATTCTGCGCGTGCACTTGCTTCGCTGCGGGTTAGGACTGGGGGCATGCCAGGGGCGCCCATCTTAGAGGGGCACCTCTGGGGGTTGGGCCATGGGTGAGACTGGGGATCAGCCCTTGGTGTCAGCCAGAGGGGAATTGTGTTGGAGAGGGTGACTTGTATTTTCAGGTTGTACATCTGCCGTTGTGTGTGTCCCAAGCGTGTGTTTGTGTGTGTGTGTGTGTGTGTGTGTGTGTGTGTATCTACTGGTGGGTCTCAATTTTTAAAAATAGGTCTGTGGGCTCCAAGGGTGTCTCAGAGGTTTTCAGAGAACATCATGGGGTGTTGGAGTGTGCGTGTGAGTCCCTGATGGGGGATCACCAAGTTCCTGGGGGATCATCGTGTGTCTGATGGTCCTGCCGGGCCAGCCCTAACTCCCCAGCCACACTTGAACTGGCAGCCAGGCCCTTGTGCCTCAGCTACTCTGAAGCATGAAGCTCTGTGACCTGGGGATCTTCTTCCATAAGGTTCTGTCTTCCCTGGAAGACCTGGCCCAGAACCAGGCCCTGGACAGGTGGGGGAGGGGCACTGGAGGAGATCAGAGGTCAGAGGCCAGGTTGGAAGGTCCTGGCATCAGGGACAGTGATGCAGGGAAGGTGGGGGTGGGAGAGGAGGTGGAGGAAGAGGCCTCCTAACCACCCTCCCCACCAATAACAATAGAGTTGGATCCAACACATAAACTGCCTGACTGTGTGTCAGGCTGTGTTCTCAATACCTGACATGTGTTTAATCGTATTCAACCCTCCTGTTTAATCATTCATTGTCCTTATGTTTATGGAGGGGACACCTGACAGCACAAGAGGTTAAATACCCGCTGAATCGGGGCTTGTTAGGTAAAATGCAGGATGCATACTTAAATTTGAACTCCAGACAAACAAAGAATTACCTTTCAGTGTAACCATGTCCCAGATATTTCTTGCCTCTACTTAAACATAACTTGGCAAAATAAATAAAGGTGGTTTTTTTATGTAGACCCATTCCATGCGGTGTTTGGGAGCTACTTATACTAAAGTATGATTTGTGCATCTGAAATTCAGATCTCAGTTTGCTGTGTATTTCTTGTAATCTTGTTGTCGTTAAATCTGGCGAGCTTGATCCTTGACGTCTCTCCGCTCGTGACTGGAAGGCTGGAACCCCCCAGTGCACCCTCCAGACACACTGGCCCAAGTCCTGCCCAGGGTAAAGCTGGGGTGGAGGCGGGGTCCCAGGACCCCTCAGCTGAGCCTGCTGCTAGGCACCCTTGCTGCAGTGCTGGCCGCTCGCTCCCCAGGGGCTGTGGTGAGGTGTCTGTGGACCAGCCCCCTCGTCTTCACAGCAGTCCTGAGAGGCCATCCCTTGAGCATCCTGTACCAGAAGAGGCCCCCGAGGACAGGGAAGAGGGGTGCTGGTCTGAACCATTTGGTCAAGCTGCAGTGTAGCCTTAGGACACAGCTGAAATACAGCACTGGGAATGCTGGCCATGAGTGTGCTTATTGAGTGCCTGCTGTATGTCAGACACCACAGGCCCTTTTGATATAAAGTTAACTGAGCTGCACCTTCAGGCCCCAGCACTTTGTGTCATAATTTTTCTATTCTTAAAGAGGCATAAACCCCACACCCATGATCCCTGCCCTTGCCCTTGCCAGGCACCATGGCAATCGCTCTCCCCACATCACACACTGGGCCTTGGAAGCCACTCTAGGAGGGAGGCATTGCCAACACTTCCCCTTGGATGTTGGGGACCTGGAGACTTGGGGAGGGGATGGAGCTGTCTGAGTCCATCCGACACCTGAGAGCAGTGCTGGGGTTCACACCCAGGCCATCTGGGTGCCCAGCCCAGGCACTGACTGCTCTGGTCTCCTGTCCATAGGGAGCACCTGTGGTGTCACGATGCTACCTCTCAGCACCATCGAGGGCCAGGAAACGGAGGCGGTGCAGACCAAGCCGCCGGAGAAAGGAGGTGAGACACACATGGGGTGGAAACCTGTGGGCAGGTGGCAGTGGGGAGGGTCTCCAGGGCACGGCTGATGGGGAAGTGTTGACCCTGAAGACTGATCCCAACCCCAAATATCTCCCACTGGCTCCTGCTGGGGAGGGCGGGCCCTGAGGGGCTCCCGGGATGGAACCTCCCTGACATCACCTGATGTCAGTGCGTCCTGTCTCTCCCCTGTTCAGAGCCTACAGCAGTGTCTCCTGGGAGCTGAATGAATTGGAGCTTCTTTTTGTGGCCTGGACACCCCTGTTGTCTTACCCTAGCCCCTTCACTCACTGACATTCCCCGTCTGTTCCCTGTGAGACTACAGGATGCAATTTAATGCATGTCTGCAGGCACTGCTGTGCAACATCCCTAACCTTTCTGTGCCTCCGTTTCCTCATCTGTAAAATGAGAAGATAATAGTAGTTATTTCAGGGAGTTATAATGAACAACCAGACAAGCTAATAATTGTAAAATGCTTAAAAGCGTGCCTGCCACATCGCAAGTACTCCTCACATATTAGCTCTTGTCAAGGGTTCGTGATGAAGATTTTATTATTATTGTTTCTCAAGCCTCAGAGGGCAAGATGGCCTCATGCCTCTTTCCTCCTCCCTCAGCCCTGCCTTCTGAGGTTCCTGATGATCTGCTGAACAGTCCCTCCAAAACGGAGGGAACGATGTCAGCCAAACTCCTGCCGATCTGTCCCTTGGTAAGTCTGCTTGTTTCCTCGCTTGACCAGAGTCCCCTGGGTTCTGAGAGGAAAGGCACATCCACCACCCCCTCTGCCCAGCAGAGACCCTTGGGTGGCTCGGTGCCCCTTGTACCCTTGAGGATGTAGCCCCAGCTCTGGGGGATGGTTTTCTTGGAGATGCTGCCCTCTTTCCTGCCTTCTTTTCTTTCCTAATTCCTGCCTCTGCTCCAATGTCACCTCCTCCATGAAGCCTCCCTTGCTCACTTTGGCCTCATTTCTCTCTAACCCCTTGCTTTGCTCAGTTTCTTCAGCGTTATTATTGCTATCTGAGAGCACACCTGTGTCTGTGTGTTCATCATCTGTGTTCCCTACTCGAGTGGTTCTTGGGGAGCAGCAACCTCCTCTGTTGTTCAATGGCATATCCCCCTGCCTAGAACAGATGTAACCAGTGTTAGGCACCGTATACACATGCGCTGATTAAGTGAGGAAATGAGTTACGTAAGGGTCCCTCCTGCGTAGGCAGCTGTGGCTTTGTCCACCTGGACACCATTCCTCCTCCTGCTACTAACACCCTTGATTTTTCTGGGGGGCCACCTGTCTCCATGCCCTTCGGATGGATCTGATCCCATCCTCAGACCAGCTCCAGGTATGCCCCTGACCAATCAGAGCCGGCAATGCCAAGGTCCCCCGTGATTGTTCCAGGCTGGGCACGTGGCTCACCGTGGCCAATGAGGCGTCTGCTCTGTGTCTGGGATCCTTAACAGGTAGGGGCGGAGTTTGGAGCGGCCCTGATGGGGAACCAGGTGTGCCACGGGGAGAGGTCAGGGGAGGCACAGGGTGAGGATGCTCGCAAGAACACGTTTCCTATTAGTGCCTGCAGCAGTCCCAGGGAGGACTCTCTAGAAATGTTATTAGAAAAGAATGTAAGAGTCACAGATTTTGCAAAGCAGTACAAAGATCATCCAAATTCACCAATTGTTAATATTTTGTATTTTCATGTTCTCTCTAATATATATATTTATATATACATTCCTCAGTCTATCACCTTAGATATAGAATATACTCTTACATAAGTGTGGGACTGTTGTAACATTCAGGCTTTTATCCTTATGCACACTTTCATCTGATCTATGTCCATATTCCTGTTTTGTGAATTAGCTACATACTACCTTTCCTTTTTCGTTCTTTTCCCCACAGCACAAGTCCATTCTGGTCCAGGTATTGCGCTTAGTAATGTATCTTTAGACCTCTTTAATCTGGAAAATCTCCTCAACCTTTCTTGCCTATGACAACTTTGAAGACCAGAGTCACCCCGCCCCATATTGTTTTATTTATTTATTTGTTTGTTATTTATTTTTTAACCATTTCCCCGCGAATGAGATTCAGGGTAGCTATGATCTCTGGAATACCACCTAAGTGATGCCCTGTCCTTTTCTAGACATCACATCTAGGTGCACACGAGGTCTGTCTGCCATCATTGCTGATGTACTCGGAAGAAATACTTGTCCGATTTCTCTACTGAATACTTTCTGATTTTGTTTTCTCCCTGCAGCTAGCTAATAAGAGGTCAGTTGGGACACATTTTTCATGAAGCAAAAATCTTAGAAGTGGACAGCATTCTGTTTGGCCCATTTTGGGTACTTTGCCCACCACTGAACCAACCATCAGCTGAGGGAATGCAGGACCCTAATTGCCCCAGCCTGGGTCCCATGACCATGGGACTGTGTGGGGTAGAAGGTCCTTACCTTTCCCCAAACTCAGAGAACAGAAGTATGGATGAGGAAGTGATTCTCAACCAGAGGCAGTTTGCCCCCCTGCAGACATCTTCAGTGTCTGGAAACATCTGTAGCTGTCACAGCTGAAGGGGTGATGCCGCTGGTGTACAGCAGGTAGAGGCCAGGGATGCCCCTCAACATCCTACAATGCACAGCGTGCAGCAACCCCTGCAAAGGATGACCCCGCCCCACAATGTCCGTGGTGTGGATGTTGAGAAACCCACACTAAGGCCATTTTGGGGAAGAACTGTTTTGCAAAGATGAGGGCACTGAGTAGAAGAAAACCCCTCTTACTAAGCAGCAGGCATTGTTAAAGACACTTTTCTTGGATCATCCTGTTCAATCCTCACGACTCCCCTTTGAGAAAGCACTTATTTATACTTCATTATACAGAAGTGTAAACTGAGGCAGGGGAAGGTCAGGTCGCTTGGCCCAGGATCCCCAGCTGTTTGTAGCCAAGTTGGAATTCAGCCCCAGGTGGGCTGCCGCTGAGTGCACGTGCTCAGCCCTCACACTTGAGAGAGGGGATGCTACCCAGGGCACTAACGTTCTCCTCTTTCTTCTGTGTTCTCGTTCCTTTAAGCCAACTGTTTGCTTCGCCTATTACTTGGAAGCGGATGACTCTGACTCTGATTCCCAGTTTCCTCCTGAACCTTCGAAACCTGGCTCGAACTGCACCTCCCCTTCCAAGCCTGGTGCAGAGTACGAGGAGATCCAGGCATGGGAATGTCCCCTGTGCTGCCTCAGCATCCTCTGCCTTTCCTAATACCCGAGGTCCCTCTGCTTCCCGCTCTAGACCCCGTGCTCCCAAAACATGCATGCTGGGCTACTGTGATGTAAAATTCCAAAATATAGCTGCTTAAATATGCCAAAATTGATTTGTCCTCCGTGTTGGTGGTCTGTGTGTAACCTCTCGGGGCGAAGGTGTAGACACTCTTTGGAGTTGGGCAGCCAGGGTCCTTTGACCTTGGTGCTCTGTGCCACATGTCTGGAGAGGGCTCACCCCCACGTCCCATCCACATTCTGGCTCAGGGGAAGGGGAGAAGGATGAGGGAAGGGGAAGACACACTTTAGTCCTTCAAAGGGCAACTCCTACAAGATGCCGGATCACTTTTCCTCAAACCTCATTGGCGAGAGCATAGTCACATGACCACATCTAGCTGCAAGAGATGCTGGGAAGTGCAGTCCTTAGCTGGGCAATCCTGTGCTCACCTAATTACTTCTATTATTATAGCAAAGGAAAATGGCTATTGTGTCCCTACTGATTGGGTCTGTTAAGTTAATTTATCCTCAGCACCAGACTGTAATGAATACACGAGTGAGTAAGTGTATTCTTCAGTTCTGTATCTCTCTCCCCTTGACTAGGATCTCCTCCATTTTTACACAAATATTTAGAATAAGGAATATTTCGGGACTTCCCTGATTAAGACTCCAAACTCCCAATATAGGTGCAACGGGTTTGATCCCTGGTCAGGGAACTAGGATCCCCCATGCGGCATGGCATGGCCAAAAAAAAAAAGGAATGTTTCTTGAGCACTGACCATGTGGTAAGCCCTGAGCTCATTTCTTTACACTTTTTGATTCCCTTAATCCTCACAACCACGTGACAGGTTCTGTTATCTCTCTTTCCAAGACAAGAGAACAGAGGCACAGAGAGTTCAGGTCACACAGATCATAAGTAGCCAAGCCACGATTCACACCCAGGCAGGCTGGCTCCAGAGCCTCTGCCCTTAACCATCATGGTAATAACCTCACACGTGTGGACACTGGGACTTTCCCAGATGGTCACACAACTGTGAGTGGAAGAGCATCTTCCAACATTCATACCTTCCAAGATTCATAGCGTCCATTCACTTACCTCTTCAGATATTGCGTAAATACTCGGAATATGCATGTAGCACTTATGTTTAGACACAGTAATGCCACTTAACTGCAACAACAACAAAATCCACAGAAATGGTCGACTGAAGTGAAAATGCACAATGTGAGAGCTGTGAGTTTCCATTTTGTTTGGGGTTTACTGAGGACGATAGCCCAGGAGACAGCCGCTCTGCTCCACAAGGTAGGTAGGAGGTCAGGTTCTGTGTGATTTTGGAGAACGTGTATGTGCAATGAAGCACGCCACTTGGTAGAAGGGTACTGTTGGTCACAAGGAACACATATGTCACTTATGATTTTAGCCCTTTTCTAAGTAGGAGAAGATACAAGAATAGTGGTTTTTAAAATTTTCTCCTGAAAATATCTAACTCTCTGAAAGCCTTTCTGCCGGTTTTCCCAGAGCATAGAGTACCTCAGCCTCATCTTCACTCTTAATTACTTTCCAGATGTATTGTTGGTATCAACTGAAGTGGTTAATGACTTCACTTTTGTAGAAGTGGGTGGTGGGGAACCTTCTTCTGTTGGCAGTGCCTTCCTCTTGGTCATAAATTCAACCAAGGTTTGGGAGGCATTTTATAGCCAAGTTCTCCCTCAGCGCTAGTAAGGTTTGTTGCTAGCTCAGGCGAGTATTTAACCGCTAGCCCATTCAATGTGTTATTGCTGGACTATGCCCTGTTAATGGTAGCCATACATGTCTCTGGACCACCTATCTTACTAATCCCTCATGGTCCAGGAGATGGTTCCCTCTTGTTGCTTCTTTCCATATCTAGCATTGCACTATTACGATCACTGATCTCACGTGGAACTATATATTTGATCAGTTGTTTCAAGGCGCCTAGGCATCATTATATTTATTGGAGGCTCAGTCACACAATTCTATTTTATTTTTTTAAATATTTATTTATTTATTTTGGCTGCATCAGGTCTTAGCTGTGGCACATGGGATCTTTGTTGCAGCATGCAGGCTTCTTAGTTGCGGCATGCATGCGGGATCTAGTTCCCCGACGAGGGATCAAACCCGGGCCCCCTGCATTGGGAACGTGGAGTCTTACCCACTGGACCACCAGGGAAGTCCCAGTCACACAATTCTTAATGCAAGAAATAACAATATTGTAAATAGGCAGAATACAAGCAATATAGCTGGTAGCGTCACAAGTAAATGTTTAAGACAAGAAATTGCAGTAGGTGCAGCCCAGTATATCCCAGGTCGTTTGTCCCTGTCTATTACATACCAATCACTAACTTTAAGAGAAATGATATATTAGCATTGTTCATAAAGCACCCAGCCCAATTCCCTGTAGTCATTAAGCTGATTATCCTTAGCATGATTTAATTTTCCTCCACATAAGGGAAACCCTTAAATTTCAATGACCATACCCTGATATTTGCAGTACAAATTCATCCTGTAACTGAGGGACAGTCCCTCCTAAAAAACAGAAAGTTATATTCTTTGACTGAAATTTTCCTCATTGCTCTGATTGAGCTTGAGTAACGTTTAAAGATGATTCATTTAAAAAATTTATTTTATTAAAGTATAGCTGATTTACAATGTTGTGTTAATTTCTGCTGTACAGCAAAGTGATTCAGTTACACGTATATATACATACTTTTTCATATTCTTTTCCATTATGATTTATCAGAGGATATATTTATTTGTTTATTTATTGCTGTGTTGGGTCCTCATTGCTGCACGTGGGCTTTCTTTACTTGTGGCGAGAGGGGGCTACTCTTCACTGCGGTGTGCGACCTTCTCATTGCAGTGACTTCTCTTGTTGCGGAGCACGGGCTCTAGGCGTGCAGGCTTCAGTAGTTGAGGCATGTGGGCTTAATTGCTCCATGGCATGTGGGATCTTCCCCAACCAGGGCTCGAACCCATGTCCCCTGCACTGGCAGGCGGATTCTTAACCACTGTACCACCAGGGAAGCCCTATCAGAGGATATTGAATATAGTTCCCTGTGCTATACAGTAGGACCTTGTTGTTTATTCATCCTATATATAACTTGCATCTGCTAATCCAAAACTCCCAATCCATCCCTCCCCCAACCCCCTACCTTTGGCAACCACAAGTCTGTTCTCTATGTCTGTGAGTCTGTTTCATAGATAAGTTCATTTGTGTCATATTTTAGACTCCACATATAAGTGATATCATATGGTATTTGTCTTTCTCTTTCTGACTTACTTCACTTACTTTGATAATCTCTAGGTCCATCCATGTTGCTGCAAATGGCATTATTTCATTCGTTTTCATGGCTGAGTAGTATTCCATTGCATATAAGTACCACATCTTCTTTATCCACTCATCTGTCGATGGACATTTAGATTGTTTCCATGTCTTGGCTATTGTGAATAGTGCTGCTATGAACATTGGGGTGCATGTATATTTTTGAATTATGGTTTTCTCAGGATATATGCCCAGGAGTGGGATTGCAGGATCATATGGCAACTCTATTTTTAGTTTTTTGAGGAACCTCCATACTGTTCTGTATAGTGGCTGCACCAATTTACATTCCCACCAACAGTGTAGGAGGGTTCCCTTTTCTCCACACCCTCTCCAGCATTTGTTATTTGTAGACTTTTTAATGATGGTCATTCTGACCAGTGAGAGGTGGTACCTCATTGTAGTTTTTATTTGCATTTCTTTACTAATTAGCGATGTTTAGCATCTTTTCATGTGCCTGTTGGCCATCTGTATGAAATATGATTCATTTTTATGGCTATGGTCAGAGCAAGTAGTTTGATTGGCTAAGTGAGGGGGTCCCATCTTGTAATATGAGTAGTGGCCCAAATAAAGCAAAGACAGTACAAAAAAGAAAATTACAGACCAATGAATAAAGGTGTAAAAATCCTCAACAAAATATTAGCAAATTGAATATGATAATATATAAAAAGTATCATACACCAGGATCAAGTGGGTTTTATTCCAGGGATTCAAGCATAGTTCACTATCTGCAAATCAAGCATTGTGATACACCACATTAACAAAAGGAAGTCTAAAAGTCACATGATCATCTAACAGACACCAAAAAAGCATTTGGCAAAGTTCAACCTCCGTTCATGATGAAAACTCTGATGAAAGTGAGTATAGAGGGAACATACCTCAACTGAAAAAAGGACATTTATGACAAACCCACAGGGAACATCGTACTAGATGGTGAAAGCTGAAAGCATTTCCTGTAAAATCAGGAAGAAGACAAGGATGCCCACCCTCACCACTGCTATTTTACATAGTATTGGAAGTCCTAACCACAGCAGTCAGACAAGAGAAGGAAATAAAAGGCATCCAAATTAGAAGGGAAGAAGTAAAGCTGTCACCATTTGCAGGTGATGTGACACTATATACAGAAAACACTAAAGTCTCCACCAAAGCTATTAGAATTACAACAAGGTCCTACTCTATAGCACAGGGAACTATATTCAATATGTACAGCAAAAATTAACACAACATTGTAAATCAACTATACTTCAATAAAAAATAAATTAAAAAAGCTATTAAAACTAATAAATGAATTCAGTGAAGTTGAAGTTTACAAGATTAATATACAAAAATCTGTTGATTTTTATACAATAGTAATGAACTATCACAAAGAGAAACAAGAAAGTAATCCTGTTTAAAATGGCATTAAAAATAATAAAATACCTTGAAATAAAATTAACCAAGGAGCTTAAAAACCTATACTCTGAAAACTATAAAACATCGATAAAGGAATTGAAGATGATAAAAAGAAATGGAAAGATACCCCATGTTCATCATTGGAAGTATTAATATTGTTAAATGTCCATACTAAACAAAGCAAACTAGAGATTTAATGCAATCCCTATCAAAATACCAAGGACGTTTTTTCACAGAACTAAAACAAATACTAAAATTCATATGGAACCACAAAAGATCTTAATTGCCAAAGCAATCTTAAGGGAAAAGAATAGAGCTGGAGTAATAATGCTCACTGACATTGGACTATACTACAAAGCTACA